GGTAATATTCCATGTACTCCTTATTTGTTTCATTGATGTGACCGAGAAATACTAATGGAAATTCAACATTTAAGTAATGGCACTTTTTCACATAGCCTCTTCGTTTTAAAATTTGCAAAAAAGTTTGAAAATCGAGACTGAGTGTTCATAAAATTGCAATTTCAAGCACAAAAATTTTTATTTGCACTAATTGTTTTAGTAGCTGCCAATGCTTCATTTGCTTGTAAGGAACTTTTGCAAGTTCCTTACAAGTCAACAATTTTCTTTAAACATTCTTACATAATTATACATAAATTCCAAATAAATTTTCGGATTTTCTTTTTCTATTTTAACAAAATTCTTGTTTATTTCATACTTTCTCCAAAATTTATAAGTTAAAAAAGAGCTCAACAAATTTAAACGAACTTTTTACAGTTATCAATTCTCTCTTTTTTAATCTTTTTTTTGTTTTACGAATCCATCGAAAAATGTATCAATAATTTATTATTTGATTCCTATTAATAAGTCAACAGTTTTTCTATTCATTCATCACTTTAAAGTTTAAGCTGATTCCTTCTGGAAAATTGCTAACTGCTATATTTCACATTCATACCAAGAATATGATTAATGATGCATTTTTATTCAACATCGAAATATAAAATTCGTTTTATTTTAATTTGCCCAGTAGCAGCTAGCTTCGATGTTTATCGATTGTGCAGGCATTTCAAAACTATGAATCGTTGTTGCTCCTATTAGCTGGAATTGAACAATCAGGAATTTAAAAATCCAATTTTCATATACCATTTAACAACCATTCCATTCGGCATTTGTCAATCACATTGCATTTTACTTCTCACTCCATCCTTCCTTCAATCATTTTTGTCTTTTGATATGACTTTTTTTATTCTTTTCTTTGTTGTTCTTTCTTTCGAAATGAAGGAAATTAATCTTCAAGAAATGAAAAGAACAAAAATATATTTTCAGTGTATATCGCAATATGAAATAGAACTTTTTAAACCTCTGCAAAGTTGAAAACTTATGTTCAATTGTTCAATTTCTCTATCAAAAATTCATTGTTCCAACGATATCAACTAGATAGCGGCTAACTAATTTAAATGATTTTCATTCATTTTCTAATATTTATGAAGCTAATAATATTTTTCATTATTTAGCTATTAGCTTTTTATTTTGTCTATTGCCCAAATTCTTTTCAAGCAGACCATTTTAACAATTTTGTCATATTTTATTCATATCTTACCTATTTATATTCTTATTTATATGATTTTTTTCAGTATTTCTTCTAAGCACAATTTTTTAAAGCAGAAATTTCGTTTTCTCTCCTGAAATTCGTAATTTTCAATCAATATTGATTATAAATTATTCATGTCAGGACGTTTTTATGGTTTGAAGAAAAATGCTTTCACTCCATCATATTTTTAATTGCCTCTGAGTGAAGACAAATGTCAATTCTTCGTCAATTCTTCAAGGTTTTGTTTTAAAAGAGCGCAATACTGTTCGAAAAGATGAAAGTTCAAAGTCATCTTCTTCCTCAGGAAAAACAAAACAACGTTTTTTCTTTTTAATCAATGTGTTCTCTAAAAAAATGCTGCTAAAAAAGGCTATTTTTTGAATTCATATCTTATTCAAACTTATGATATTATTTTCCTCGAAAATATATTCAGTTCGATGTATTTCTTTGGTTTATTATATTCAACCAATAATTTGTAGCAAAAAAGAGGGAAGCAAAATTTTTAGTTTCACACAGCAAATTGCTATTTCATCGTTATTAGTATTCAAAATAAAAAAGTCATTGTTTATGGGAAAAAATTCAAAGAATTATCGAATAAATCCAACAAATGACGAATACTTCATGTTATGTATGATTAAAATTTGCAAAACTATTTTCTGTCAAAATTAATCACTCAATTGATCACGCAAAATAACTTGATCGACATAGGAAATTACAAAATTATCTAATGGAATTAATTACGTTATTTAAGGATGACACGCAAGTAATCATTAGCCTTTTACACTGCTAAAGTCCTCCAAAAATGTGATAAGCACAAAAACTCAAATGTTATTGAAAGAATTTCAATAAAATACCATTTCATTAAAATTATTCTTCCGATAAGCATATTTTCTTTTTTGCCAAGAAAAATATTTGAAGTATTTTTGAAATAATTTTGATTTGGTCAAAATAAATAATATCAGTAAACAGCACTGAAACTTTGATTAACTAATCGATCGATCAGGTTTTAACATCTGTTGTGCCTATCATTTACATCATTCCATCTTCCCTCATCTTTTCAACTAATAACTCTTTATCCATTCACTATTACAAACACATTTTCATGTTCGCTAACATTTTAAAAGTTGATATTTAAGAGAGAGAGAGAGAGAAAAAAAAGAAAAAAAAATTATACGTATATTATGTATATATAATTTTTCATATATAATTGTTGAGATTAATTATTTCTTTGTGTCATTTCCTGTTCACATTTCTTTATTGATTCCAACTTGAATACAAAATTCTCCCCTGTACACATATATCGCATTAGACAAAATATATTACAATGTAGAAAATTTTCAATTCCATCCCAGTCTTCCCATTATTTTAAATTTTCCAAAAAAATATTATGCAATTAAAATAGTCAAATTAAAAGATTTTAACCAATTTAAATGAAAAAATTCGCCAGTATTATAACAATCATTTTTATCACAGAACTTTTGGAAGTGCGTTTCTATAATTTATCCATTAATTTTCATTCTAAGGTTGTCTCTTTTTTCAGCCAAGCTACATTTATGCTAACTTAATCTTTTTTTATCTCTTTCTATCTATTTTATTTCGCATTTAGTATTTCCCCTTTTTTATTTTGATTGCTTTTAGGCTAAATTATGTGAATCAATTTGCGCATCACTTTTTAACTTTTTATTGGTGTACTTTTGCAGATGCATGACGACAGAAGCATTTGAACGAGAAAGAATTTTAGCTACCAACAATTTCCACTAACCAATCACAGTAATTGATGTATTAACTCACTGAAATTCTTTTCCTTCCTAAAATTTATAAATTTTTTTCTTTTCCAAAATTTCTAGCATTCAATAGTTTTACGAGATTATCACTTAGAAGTTTATTATAAGGAGTCAGTAATATTAGATACTGTGCACTTGCGGCACTAATTTAATATTTCCATCTTGACATTTTTTATTTTCATAACATAGAACTTAATAAATGGTTTATGAATTATTAAGCTGCTAATATTTGTAAGAAAAATATAGAGATGACGATTAAGCGATAGAGAAAAAGCAAGAAAATAATGATATAATATGGAGAAAAAGATAAGAAATTAAATGGTGGAAAAAATTACATCTCTACGATTATTTGATTTTTCAAGTAATAGTTCTAATGTTTCAACACTTCAATGTCAAATTTAAAAAAGTTATACCATTTATTTACAACTTATTTGCTTGCCTAATTACTGATAATATAATAACGTGCTTATTAGACTAATACAATAGTATTATCAGCATAAATTTAGGATTGAACAAGAGATAATCATAATTGTTCGTATTATCAATTTTCTTACAATGTAAATATAACTACTCGTTTTTATTCCACCTTTTCTGCCTTTTTCTCTTTGCTTTTTCTGCGTTTATCTGTTAAGAAAATACTTCGCTGGATATTATATCATTATCATTGTTTTTTGCACTATACGATCTAAATCACTGATAGAAGATAATGATGTGCTAAACAGTGCCTTCCAATTAATTTAATTAAAAAAATTATATTGGGTGAGTAATTTTACTTGCTTACCGTATTAATACTTCGAGCATAAATTATCGTTGAAAATATATTGTAATTATTGTCTTAAATATTTCCAATATGTCGACCGTTGTTATCATTATTAGCAGCAATGAAAAGAAGCATTTTTTGATTGGAAAAATAACAAACATAAAAGAATGGAATTGATGCTAGCTAATAATAGTTCTGAATAAAATTGGTTGGCATGAAGTAGAAGATTGAAATAAAATGCGAAAAAGTTAAACTAAATTAAAGCAATAGTATGAAGTTGCTAACAAATAGAAATTTTTAAGATAATTTTTTTGATATTGAAAAAGAGAAATGAAAAAACAGATTTCTTTTACACTAAGAAAAAAGAAAGAAAAATAATTAATTTTCTTTTCTTTTTGCTTTTTTTACTTTTCATTCATCATTAATTAACTTTGTTGTATTTCCATCATAACCTTATTGGTACTGATTAACAATAACGTTAATAAAGGAAACACAGTTAATAGAAATGATATATTTACGAGCAATAATTAATATCAAAATTACATATATTAGATGCATATACTTTGAAATGATTTGAAATGTAAAACAGTAAAAATGTAAAAACAGTAAAAAAAATTTGCAGATTGAAAACATATTTTAGATTGAAGAAAATTAAAACCTACATATTTAACAAATTGGAAGCAGAGAATATATTGTAGATTAAAAAATTAAATATATATGAAAAAAGTAATATTCATGTATTATATGCCCTCGACTTATGGAATTAATTATACTAAATTGAAAAAGAACACTAAAAAAATTCAAAACAAACCCTATTTGTGCAATTAATTCAAATTTAATTTTTAAAAACTGGTGTATTAGAAATTTTGCACAATCTCCCGTTTTTACGTCACTTCTCTTCATCATCTTCTTTATTGTTTGTTTGATTTATATTTAATTTCTTTAATCTTATATTTTTTATGTTTTTAATTGGATTTTTTATTCATTCTTATATCTTTTTTCTTTTTAATTTTTGGTTTTATCTGGTTAGCAAAGTATATGATCTATTCAATTAATTCGATCAAAAATATTACTGATATATCGGAACTCTTCGATTTCAAAAAATAATTTTTAGATTCCAGACAAATATTAAATGCTAATCATATTGAAGCATTTATTTTCAAAGCATAAGAATTAGCGTAATTGAAAACAACTTTCAACTTTTACAAACATAACAATTTCGAGAAAGATGTTGCTCGATTGCTTGAAATCAAATTTGCCACCTCGAAATCATGCAACTCCTCAGTACTATACTTGTTTCGGACGAGTGCATGTTCAAGTATGCATTATTCCAATTATAATAAATCCATCATTCTCAATTAAATCTAATCTGTTCAACATATATTATTCTAAATCAATTATTAAGAAAATAATTATTTATTACAGACTGCTTTACAACTCATTATAATTGTAACATTTGCATGGGACACATTTCGATGGATCGATTTCATCGTCAATCGAGGAATTACTTTCGGTAATTTATTTAATCATCTTTTGACTAATTGAATATATCTCTAATCATTCTTTAACATTACTCAAAAAGCTAACAAAATGTTGCGGTTATTGTTACCACCAGCCTTCCTCGTATCTACTAAAATTTTTTTAGTCATAAAACTGCCTCAATTCTTATTCCATTACCACTTTACAATATACAGTTGAGTTTTATTATTATTGCTACTTTCATATCTTTCAATACACTTACCCTTATTGTTTATTGATTCAATTTGTGATGATATTTATGAAATAATTACTGGAATTCGTATTGTTACAGGATGGATAGAAATTTTTGCGGAAATTTGTAACGCCTTATTCGGGATTTCATTGATCATCGCTTATTGTTTCAAATCAGCGTCTTTCTTGTTACCATACCTTTTCCTTCAGGTTTTACATCACTTTTACAACTAATTTTAATTTCTTAACCGTATCTTTTCAAATTTTAAAAGTATTAATAGGTTTCATCAATATTTCTTCTCATCGCAATTAAAATTAATACTCTTGTTTTCGCCACTTGTTGCATGCTTGTTGTAAAAAAACATATTTAGGATTTCATTAAATTTGTGAAGTACTTCTAAGTTTAGATGAATGTTTTTCGTTTTCAGCTATTCACTCTGGTAGCTTCAATGATTTTATTCTGCGTAAGCGTCTTGACTATAATATGGCCCAAAAATTCTTGGGCGCCCAGTTTCCATACTTATCCACCAACGAAAGCATCCAGTAAGATTCAAATTTTCAGATGTATATTCATTTCTCTGATAAGATATGAATAAAATACCTTTAGAACAATTCTCATTCAGGTTAACTTACAAACTTTTAACTGCAGTACTGATTGTTTCTTTAAAATATTTATAGAAACTATTTTCTCACAAAACAAAAAGGAAAAAAAGAGTTTGCAGATTCCTCTTTTCATCCATAGTAGTGATAATAGGCTTGAATGACTTTTCCAAGTTCACTATTCGCTTAGTATATGAAGCAACTATTTAATCAAAAGTATGTAATCAGTGAGAGATAAAGTTGAAGACTGCATATAATTAAAAAAAATAAAAGCTTTGGAAGGAAATTGAACCGCACTTGTATGAGACTATAAGAGCTGATAAATCTCCTTCATTCATTCAATAAAAGCAAAATAAATTCTATATGAAAGCAAATAAAAATTCCACAGAGAAGAAAATATTAGAATTGATACTATGCTTAAGCAAAACTCTCAGCGGTTTTTACGAGTGATAAAAAATATCAAATATCAAAGGATTAATGTGTAACACTAAATGTTGTTATTAATATCTATTTACAGTTGTTATGAGGAAAATATTTTAAAAATTCAAAAACTTGAGCTTTTTTTTTTTAACTTTTTTCCCTTTGTCAGCAATTTTGCTATATGAATCATTTCAGCTATTCGACTAAACGCTTTAATTTATGCCATATCTCCACTTACTTTTGCGTTGATGTTGATATGGGTGATTCGTGTTTTGTTCGCTTGCTATGTATATTTTAGCGATCGAAAGAAAGCTGAATCAAGTTTTCCTATAGTTTCCATTCAGGCAAGTTAAAATGAAAAAAATAAAGCGTAGAAAATTTTTTATATAGTTTAAACTCAGCCTATTGACAATGATAGATTTATTTGCAATAAATGCTTTAAAATGCGATGTCTCGGGAAAAAATTACATTTCATCTATAATTTCAAATAGAAAACAATTGCCTAGAAAGTCATTCACCTCATTTTTACTGTCAAAGAGTTGCAATTCTTACCTGTACATACTTAGCACACGAGATAGTAACATAAATAAAACATGTATAGGATAAAGGAAAGAAAATGTCTGGAAGTGGTATTTTTCAAGTTAGAAAAGTCTACATGCAAGTGATTTTGAAGTTAATACTAGTCTACTTGCAGAACAATGGTCCCACTACAGGTGTTACTATAACTTCACCAACAGCAGTAGCTGTGGCGTGTATTTCGACCAACTCAACATCATCAACTACATTCTCGAACCCTAACTTTATTTTGCAAGATGAAGGCGGAGAGATACAACAATGACGTCGGTAGAATATGGAAAACTGAAATGTAGCGTCTTGTAAAAGTAAACTAAGAACCAATCAAAAATTTGAAATAAAGTTTACATTGTTGACAACTGAACATTGACAACTGACAGATGGCAAAGGAAAGCTGCTCTCAAAACATCATGAGAAAAGTATGTTCACTGTATAACGCTGTGAAAACAAGGAAAAAGAAACAATATACCACAGATTTACCATCCTAAAATTTACCATTCTTCTTCTTAAATGATCAATTTTAAGACTAATTAGTTGCTACTTGAAGCTATTCATTAAAGTAATTAAAAAACTGAAAAAAATTTTGAGAGTTGAAAATTTTGTAGTTTTTTGGGTAGTAAAACCGATGAAAAAAAATGGCAAGTATGAGAAACGAGAATTCATTATAGAACACTAACCGAAACTTGCACAATGTTGATTAGTTACGCTGCATTCTTGCGATGGCTCAATGAACTACCAGTGATTGCAGATGGATATTTTACAACTTATTCCAAGTTAACCCTCTTCCACTCTTGTTTGACAATATTTCGATATTCCATATCATACCATACGCATTCTTTCTATTTAGTATCCAAATTGGTTACTTGTTTTCAATTTAATCCTTTTGCTCTATCATTTCCTTGCATTATAGCCAGTAATAGTTTAGGCTTCATTTAATGCATGGAATCAGAAATTTCTTAAGTTTTTACAAAATTGAAGTTAATGTGCTTCTTTCAACAACACTATTTATTCCTAATATTGGGACTAACTAGCCAATTAATAAGCACTGTATAAAGAGTTATGAAACTACTCATTTTCTTAAACAGTACTTGATGCGCTATACTAAACTGAACAGCTTATTTTCTCGTCACTCAATTTTACCGCTCGTCTTAGAATTTTCGTAGTCAAATGTTTGAGTGTTTTCCTTTTGCTTATGAAATACCTTACTTTCGCAAATTCTACAAAATTTCACTCCATTAGTGTCTCAAGCATCATTCAGTCACTTCATATCTCAGATGTAAACGAATGACAGATGGCTTACCAAAGTATTCATTTACCTGCTGCAACTTGAGAGAAAGTATGCTATCCGCTGCAACAAACACAAATAAGCAAATAAGTAAAAAATAAATAAACCACAGCACTTGACGATTGTAAATGCTTGAATAATAAGTAATTCTGCTCACATTCTTTTTATACCACATTTTGTTTAAACACCAATTTGCCTTAACCATAATTTCACTCAGCATTATCAAAATTACCGAAATATTTCACATTTAAGAAATTTGGGAAAGCTCAACACTCCAAATGTGTGTTGAATTTGAAATTGAAAATGACTGACAGGAAAATACTAAAGGCAACAGATTAACAGAGTAAGAAAAATCGTTAAACAGGTGCTTGTTAGCGGTATAAGGAAATAGAACATATTATTAACTATTGAGTAGTTACAAGTGGATAATGTACGAAGATATGCAATAAAATAATGCCGCATCCTTCACTTTTTTGCTTCTAAAAATTTGCTTTTACGCTTAGACCTATCCGACTGTAAACATGTACATTCTAAAATATTCAAGAATATAGAACTTCCGACTTGACCAATAATGAACAATTTATCTTACAAATTGAAAAGATAGTATTGCGATCGATAAATAAGCAATAGTGATTACATATAATATACCATCGTTTATGAATGAGAACTTCTGAAAACGACTCAAAACTTAAAATCCAACTTTCCGAATGAAACATTTGAACACAGTGACTCATTTTTTCTCCTTTAATCCTATTCAATGATAACTCAGTTTTGTACTTTTTTGAAAAAAAAAAACAATAGTTTCAAACACAAAAAAAGATCACCTTTTCGAGGCAGCAAGCGCAGCAATCGCTAAACCACCAATTACAGCAATTCCTCCACCCAATATTGCCATGCCAATGATTCCATCTAAACGAATCTTAGATTAAAAGTGGAAATCAATAGAAATGACATTTTACAAAGTTATTACATGAACCCAGAACCGACATTTTAAAAAACAAAAACTGACGATCACCTTTTTTCATTCTATGCTTAATCACATCCTTTAGATCTAATGCTTGACGATTACTTGACTCTGCACTGAGTAAAACATCAACGTATGCAAGAGCTCGATCATACTCCTGAAATTCCAAACTTTTCAACAGAATTAATCACTTTGAAAAAGTACCAAGCAGAAAATTTTACCTTCAAGCGAGTATGTGCTATTGCAAGATAATATACATAATCACGCTTTGATATATCCTCAACTTCTTGCCGCAATAAATCTAAAACATAAAAATCTAATAGAAATACATCATTATTTTTGGTGTCGAAAAAATCGCCGCAACCGACAGTACACTTTTGATAACATAGTTGATAACACTTTTGATAACTCAGTTCGAAATGCATTATGTTACAGTTACTCAAGCATCAATAGCATCAATAACAACAATAATTTTGTCGTCATTAAGACACAATATATACTAAGCATTACC